AAGAAAAAATACTTGTCCAATATTTTTTAATAATCTACCTGATAAACGATGAAAAAAAATAGTCATCATCCCTATTCACTTATTTCATCAATAGCATTAAGATTTGGTTTAGGCGTGCACATTTGAGGAAATAAATTAAACTCTGTGAATGTGTATTTTATATTAAGGAAATAACGAAATATGATTTCGTATATTTCGTGTACAACAATATATTGCTTTTGTTGAAGCGCGCATATCTAAAATATATATGATAATATATTTTAGATATTAAAGCAAAATAATATTATTATTTTAAATATTTTAAAGCAAAATTAAGACCCATATTTTAATACTTAATACCCATAATAATGGGTATTAATTAACAGTGTGGCGACACAAAGTGTAAAATAATTAATTCTACTGCCGATTTCAATATTCCCTTATCCATGTTATATGATAGTTTTTAGTTTCCTCTTACATCAATTATGTAAATGTAAGTGTCATAACGAACACCATATTTGTACAAATGCTGATTGATCAGAGACAATTGGTAAACGGTAGGCGTTGCTTATTGCAGATCTGGCTCCGTCGTCTATGCATAGTAAACACTGTTTTGTATGTTAATAGTGGGCAAGTGATCTTTTTAATGATACTTACACTGGCTTGTACAAGAGAATAGTTATCTTGTATTGAGGAGCTCGATGGCGCAAGAAGTTAGCGCGTTCGAACTTTAGCAGTGGTTCGCAAAACTTTACTATCTCGAGCTCCTCCGTGCTTCGAAAGGCACGTTAAGCCGTTGGTCCCGGCTGCATCTGCAGTCGTCAGCACCCACCAACCCGCATAGGGCCCGTGTGGTGGGTCATGGCCCAATTTCCCTATTCCATCCATAAGGAAAGCCCCAGCAGTGGGTAAATTAATAGGCTGATGATGATGATGAATCTTGGTATTTTATTAAGTACTAGCAACCGCTTAGTAACTCTAGTTTATTGAAAACCCCTCATGAACCTAATATTTTTAAGGGATAAAAACCCTATATCTCAATCCAGGTTACAAACTATATGCGGGTCAAAAAATTGTTCTAAAAACCGCCTAGTAACTCTAGTTTATTGAAAACCCCCTCATGTACCTAACATATGTAAGGAACAAAAACCCTGTATATCAATCCAGGTCATAAACTTGTCAAAAACGTATCAAAATTTGTCAGAATCCGTTTAGTAGTTTTTGCGTGATCGTATAACAAACATACACACTTTCACATCTATAATAATTATTAGTCGTATAGTAGATAGGCAAACTGTGTTGCGATAAGTAAATTTTGAACTACCTATCTTAAAACAGAAACCGTAACTCTTTTAAATTATGTGGTTTATGGAAAACATGATTATGAGGTTCCTTGTCACACTTTTCACCTGGAATAACTTGAAATTTTATTAATTACAATATAATCTGTATTAAGAGAGAGGAAACAACTGATTTTATATGTGTCTTCCATTAATTATTATTTATTGTAAACTTGCTTTTTGGTTTGATTGCAGTATGCCTCATCAAACGAACAAATTAGGTATTGTTTTTATTTTGATATTATTGTTAAGGCATATAAATTTACATATCCAAATAATATGATCCCTCAAGGAAAAATATAATGTTGTGTGACAATTTCATAGTTATCGAATCCTTTCCGGTCTGACGCATCTAAATAAGCCAACAACTCCCAAATACTAAATATTTTGTGTAGACAACTTTATACGATCTTGTTAGCGTGAATATTAATAACATGTTTGTAGCAACGTTGCGTGTATGAAAAAGTGTTTATCTTAATTTCAGCACTGTGCAGGATCAGAAGGCCAATCGCCTAGCGAGAATGCTATGGCTATAGCTTACGATTTCATTTTGTTATTTCTGACCGCCGAAGATTTCCAAATACCTCACGCTCATTTTCTTTAATATTGTTATTACCAAAGCAAAATAAAAAAGAGGGCTAGGCATTTGAAAACTTAGGGTCGAAAATAAAGAAATGAAATCATAAGCGATTGCGATAGCCATAGCAATCACGATAGGCGATTGTCTCCTAGGTACTGAAGCTATTAGTAACAATACAATGCATAGACTAGCAGTTCGTGAACGATTTCAAGTTCTGTGTAAAAGTACGACAACGTTCCATGGTCAGTGACTCATTCTCATTTTAATTCTTATTAATTAGCCGTTCTGTATTTGGTAATGGGAGTGGATAATATTATATTCACATCGTTACCTGATCCGACACTTTTTGCGTGGGAGCTTCAACTCAAACCAACGGAGGTGCTATGACAGCTTATTTTTGACAGCTGACCCGAGGCGCTTTTCCATGACGTAAATATAGTAATGTTTTAAGTAATCGTTTGGAATTAAGTGTTCATCATCATCATTATCAGCCTAATAATGTCCCCACTGCTGGAGCACACACCTTCCCTATGGATGGAATAGGGATATTGGGCCATGAGCCAATACGCGGGCCTACTGCGGATTGGCTTAACGTGCCTTCCGAAGCACAGAGGAACTCGATGTAGAAGATTTTTGGTCACTATCCAATGACCGACCACTGCGAAAGTTGATCAACTTCAACGATCGCAACCAAACGTGCTAACCACCCGCGCCATCGAGTTTCTCATTAAGTGTTCATTACTAGATTTTTGAAAAACAATGTAAAATTAAAAGGTAAAATATAAATGTAAATGGTGATTACTGTTAACATTGTAGCCATTAAAAAAAAATGAAATCAGATGACATTTATGCATGCTTTGAGAAAAAAAAAGTTGTTTAATAAAAATTTGGTTCTTCATATATAGATAATTATTTATTTGTTAAATTCTCTATTGTAATTTTTATCTATATTGCGATACTCTGACAGGGTTCATGTTAGGTACTTTATGCATTTTGTAACTTGTAACCATCCATGTAACCACATGACTGCAATAAATTGAATTGAATTGAATTAAATTGTAGAAGTGATTGATTTAGAATTTTGTGGTATCATGGCGGATAGAATTCCCCAGACGGACGCTCTAACATAAGCGAACAATAGATTTTCTATCTCTGTCAGTTACTTTTTCAAGGAAGGCTAATTTATCTCTTCAATCTATTAAAGGTACCTACTGCATGTTTTCGTAACTTGAGATTTTGACAAGCCTGCAAATATTTGCATTTGTTTTCTTCAACAGTCTTTTTTGCATGTGTCATCAGGGTTTTCATTAAGATCGTTTTGATTAACTTTTTTCTTTGCAAATTTTCTCATTTTCTTTTGTTTTGGTGCTTTGCATGCTTGCTTATATTATTTATAATTATTAATTACTAGCTGTGCCCCGCGGTGTTACGCGCGGTTTTAAGGTATATTTTCCCGCAGTAAAACGTAACCTATGTGTTAGTCCAGGGTGTCAGCTAACTCTATACCAAATTTTATAAAAATCGCTCCAGCCGTTTAGACGTGAAGAAGTAACAACCATACACACTCATACACACTCACAAACTTTCGCCTTTATAATATTAGTTTTATCATAGTTTTTGATGAATCAAATCAGTGCTTTGTATCTTTTTTAGTTTCCATAGTAGTTTAGAACTATTTAACCGTTGCAAGTTTAGTAGGCGAAAGCGATAAATAACGAATATAAACGTTTTATTTATTGTTAACTAGCAGCCGAGCGCGACTTCGTCTTCGTTAATTTCCCGCAGGAACTTAACATTTCTCCGGGATACAAAATTACCAATCCAGGTCATGTTTGCGTACCAAATTTCATCCTAATCCTATTAGGATATTTTATGAAACAAGTTATTTTATGAAGCCAATTGAACTAATATGAAATTCCTGATACAGCGTATTTGTCTGCTTTGTATGACATTAGTAAAATAGACTGAATGAACTGACAGCAGACCCCTCTTTCCCAGTGGGCACTTTGAGCAAGTGCCCAGGCCCCGCGATCGATAGGGGCCCCCCTCAGATCAAAAACAAAGTCCCTAGTTCCTGTTAAATCAAACGGGGGTCATAGGGGCCCCATTATCTTAATATGCCCAGGGCCTCCAATAGGTCAAAGACGGCACTGACTGACTGAATGAAAAAATTCTTAGAGATATTACAACTTGTCTTTACTGCTCTTTAGTTTTTTTTTATGACACTATATATAGTTTTATATTGAGAAGTAAATCAAGGTTTGTATCAGAATCTTAAACCTTTTAGTATATTTAATAAAAGAGCTCTTTAGAATCAGTAAATCACAATCTTTAAAGAGATTCTTAATGTTTTCCTATATGAAAATATACTTATCGCTTTTTCATATCGTATACACATGTACATTACTAGCAATAATGTTGTATTTGCACCTGTAACGGTAATTTTCTTATAAGCATGGTCCCCTTTTTAAAACAAGGATTTGTATTACAAATAAATTCAGAGGACAGACAAGAAAGTAGCAAGATTTAAAAGATAATTGGAAAAACAGGTGGCGACGATTATTGCGACGATACGGCGGCGTCTAAAAACTCGCCGGTTTATTTATAAATAAGAGCACGCTATTTCAAGTTTACATTGTTATCGTATGTGCGAATATCTGAATATGAACAGAATTAGGTAAAAGAAGAATCCACAAATCTGCAGAAACAACATGTCAAACTCAACCCACATCAACGTAAGATATATCCCACAGAAAATAGTTGTGTTGATTGTTTTGACCTATATTCGCGAATATTTATACAGCAATAAAATATAATGAAAGAAGAAGCAATTTACGTTAAATAAATTATAAAAAATGGCAAGCAAGACAAATGTCTTCAGTAAATGTCAAATCATATTAATAAAGATCTGCTCGTGGTATGCAACAAATAAATCTAGAAAAATTTAAAACGAGAAACCTAGTCATGTGGATGATTTTGAAAACACTCCAGATAATGGAATTCATAATCCACAACAATGTGCTAAATCCCAAACGACCAGCGATTGAGATGGGAGAACTTCTAAAAATACCGGTGCAAGAAAGTTTATAAACACAACTCACCATGATTTCGTTCGCGGAGTGTTGTGGTGTGGTGTGAAGCGACGCGTACGCACAGTCCTATGTCAATGAGGCGACTGCCGGTAGAAGCTGTCGAGCCGGGTTGCCAGCGAAGTAGCGTCAGATTGTGTCCAGCTAAAGATATTACCTGAATTCCTCGGAAAAAGAAATAATTTTTGGGAAAATGTTATGGCAATCTTTTTTAACCATATCTCCTGACCGAGAATTGCTTTTCAACAATTGCAATGATGTAATAACTTCGTATAACGCATAAAAAGCCATTTGTTTCAAATTGCTGTAGTTAAAAGCGACAGTTCAATACTCTACTTCTAAATCTTCAAAAGGTAATAATATTAGGATTGTAGTTTGACTAACCTTAGTAATGGATTCTAAATAACGGATATTGTAAATCGTTAACATCTGAAATAATATAAGTTTTACTATACCATAGCTTATCACACGAACAAATGTCCGTACCATAGATAGAATTTGTAATAATGGTCATTACCATTAGCTAACATTTTAGCTAAACTTTAAATATTTTCATCACCTCATCAAGGAAGAAATTCTTTCACAGTGTTTAGCTTCTTTTAATTTCTAATAATCTAGAAAGATTCAAGTTAAGATACACATTAGCTTGCAGAGAGTTAGTTGGCAGTGCACCAAACTTAGCCGAGATTTTATTGAAAATTCGCTTTTTAATGGTAAATAGTAACATAGTGTGGCAACATCGTGCACGATATCGGATGACGTAATGGTTGCATTCGCCGGCTATAGGACATAGTTTATGGGGCTACGGGAGGCTCCCCCATGCGTCGTCAGCAACCCGCCAAACTTGACCTTGCCGAGTTCACGATAGACTTGTTTTTGTTATGCTAACCTGCACTCCGACTCTTGGAGCGATTGGAATCGGAATCGCATTGGTATTGGTATTGTTTTTGTGTTACCGAGGAACTCGATTCGCGCTTATGATGCTGCGATCGAAATTTCTCATTATGATCATTTTATGAGTAAGCAAATTTATCTATAGTTCTTCCATGCTTCGTAAAGTAATTTAGGCGTTCGCTTCCGGCTACATCTACAATCTTAAACACCCAGCGATTTGCACTAGGTTCCCGTGGTAGTTTGGTGGGCCATGACATGGCTCGGTCCTCCTACTCTGTCCGTTAATTTTGTATCCAATCAACTCAAATTAAGGAGATCACTCCAATACCAATATCCCTAATCCATCCATAGGGAAGGCCTGTGCCCCAGCAGTGGGGACATTAATAGGCTCATGATGATGATAATGATGCGTTTACGTTGTTTCAATAATTTTAATAAATGATCAAAATATAGTTATAATTTTAAATTTTTTGAGCAAGTTACTGCTCGATGTTTAAATCTAAAAAAATATCTGAAAAAAAACCACGCGGAACAGGCATGCCTATTAAATTAAAAATAAAACTATAATTGCTATTTAATCTTTCAAATGCTTAATACTTGTAAAATTGTTCATTTGACATTGTGGGTTATCTACAATGCGAAGAGATGGCGCTGCCTTGCAGCTTAAGAAAGGCTAGAAATTATTCGACACGGCCATCAAGGCCGCGGTAGTATAATGGTAAGTGCAAAATTGGATCGTGAACATTTTCAATTCTTTTAGGTATCGAAAAATCGAGTTCTTAGTAAAAGGTCCGTATGGATCACTAAAGTACTACCTTTGATGATAATTATTACCTTTGTGACTATAGGTATCAATGATGTGTTCATTTTCAAACAGGTATGTGATGTGATCTTGGCAAAGAATAAATTCTGCCTCAAACGAAGAACTAATTACTTCACTCAACCTTATGTAAAGTGTATGTGGAGTCCAGTTACGGATGTTACTGATTCAGCAACCTTCACCTTTCGGCCTGAACCCATATTCGCAATGAACGTAACATAAAACGTAGTGATTACAATACATTCTCTGCGCGATCCTACGAATGCTTCCGCAGTACAACACAGAGAACTACCTTAGTACCCATGTTGTTCTCTGTGTAGATCCTACGTATTGCAGGATTCTTATTGTCCTAAAGTCTATTAGAAGGTTTATGACTATGAAAATTACACACGAAAAAGGTACTTTTAAATACTTCTTATTATACACTAGCGGCCCGCCCTCGCTTCGCTTCGCTGTATAGCTGAGGTGTAGACTACAGTTTTAGTTCTCAGGCTTGTATTATACACAATGATATTTACCTATGATTCTTCTTATACCTGCATGCAAAGTCTCAGCCCGATCGGTTTAAAATTGACAAACTTTCATTCCCTATTTTATCCCCTTGGGGGTAGAATTGATCAAAATCCTACGTCATAACATCTACCTGCATGCCAAATTTCAGCCCGATCCGTCCAGTGGTTTGGGCTGTGCGTTGATAGATCACTATGTCAGTCAGTCACCTTTGAGTTTTATATATATAGATATAAGTGGTCTTGTGTAACTGTTAGTGAGCGACGGCTCGGGGCCAACGATCAGAAGATTGAGGATTTGTGGAGTGGCACTCTTTTCTGCCTCAACTATCTTCACTGCTGGACTCCATTTTCCACTTCACTGGTGGGTTGGAATAATTTGCTGCGTCTCGTACAACTCTTCTCAGTTGGAAGGCAAACTGTTGTAAATTTACGATACCATTGTGTTGTCTGCGTTCAGAGACCGTATCTTCAACTATGGTTGCTCTTATGGAATTTCTTTTATTCACAGGCCCTGAACCTTGGCCCAGGCAGGTGCGAGGTCACCAGGATTGTGCGGCAACTTTGCGGAGGTGATGCAGCGGGGTGAGTATCCTATCCGTACTGTAGTGCTTTTCCTGAAGGGATAGATAGTCCTGGGGAACGTAGTTCACAATTATTACAATGAGAACACTTAGGATGCTCAACTTCTTTTATTTAAACTCAGAGAATAACATAATCGTTTTTCTATCAACCGAACGTTTCTATGCCTGAATTCTATCTACTGGGATGTTCGATATGAGACAAAAGATTCTCTTATTCAAATCCTTAAAATAATGACATATACTTTTTAATTTAACTACCCGCCGTAGGCATTAACGGCTGAAATGGGAGCTATATCAATACAAACAATATGCCAACTAACTTGCAAGTAAAAATGCTACGAGCCTGTGTAAGGTCCTAATCATCGGACAAGACGGAGCCATATTATCTTATTCAGGAAAATTGTGTATCTGTATAAGAGTATACATATTTAGATAGAAGTTTAGATAGTTAAACGTGATTTGATGTCAATAAAAATTGGTTTGAAAAGTCTGACATTAGGTTCATAGCAAGCAATATTACCTGCTAATTTCAAACCTTCGCTCACACGAATCAGTGTAAAAGATGAATTAAAATTTAACCTGGGACGAGTTATTTTTTTTTATAATAAAACTAGCTGACCCAGCGAACTTCGTACCGCCCTAAAAAAATAGGGGTTGTCCAGCGGACAAAATTGTGAATCTAAACCATTCTCAGATCCCCTTGAACACACACAAAAAATTTCATCAAAATCGGTCCAGTCGTTTAAGAGAAGTTCAGTGACATACACACTCACAGAAGAATTATATATATAAAGATTATTTAGTGTTGTTGACCAATTAACGACGGACACAATACATGAAAAGTGTTGTATTTCTATATCTCTCCGATTTTGTTTTACGTTTCTTTCATCATCATCGGGTGATGTAGATTCATTGTTCAGAAATCTTTATGCAAATACACATAATGAATAAGAGAAATGATGGATGTTTCATATAAAATGCCTTAAATGCCATAATAAAGGTACAAGAAACAATTTACTCGTAATTTGAAGTAAACAACTATAGTTTACATCATATTCCTGAAATGTTATCTTAACAACTTAATCCACCGATAAAATGATAAATTATTCGAATATACTCGTGCTTACTTAAAATAAAACGAATTGTTTTGTTGCTACGTACGTGATAGTGCGACCACGTAAACCTTCAACTTGAACTGAATAGCCTTTTTTATATCTTATCAAATTGTTATCCAAAAAGAGGCTCGTTCGTTCATTCATGTCTTACTAAATTTCATTAATGGGTTCATAAAAATGTTTCTTTAAAAGATTGTTAATTGAGTTTCCATTGATAAAATGACAGGCATTATAACCCATTTAAATGACCATACATTATGTTTACTTGACGTCTCTGAGAATGGACGAGCAGATAATAATATTAATTTGCTTTATTTATTCTTTTTTAAACTATTTTTAAGTGGTATCTTGGCGATTTCCTGTTTTATTTATTTTTTGTTTTCTTCGGTGTTCCTGGAAATAATGCTTACAGTTAATAATATTTATGACTCTAATATTAATGAGTCAAAACTACGTTTATTTCCTCATATATACTGAATCCACATCTTTTTGTGGGAATCTGATAACCTGATATACAAGCATTTTTATGCTTACTTTAGGCGTCAGTCAATCACAAAGTTCTACATAGCTTCTTAAATAACTACCATAAGTTAATTATACAATGGTGTCGATTCCGGCGTGATTCTCTATACTTAAAAATAAATTTAACATCAGTCTCATCTTTTCATTCTGTATAGAGAAGGACAAGGATGCACTGTTGTCAAATTAAAGTTTAGCTTTAGAGAATCATGCCAGAATCGACATCAATAAGTGTTTAAAATGTATTCGTAAACGGAGGACAGAAAAATAAATGAAAATTAATTAGCTTTCTTTGCAAATTACTATTCTTATCTACTATAGAGCACTAGGGCATATCCGATTTCTGCCTAAACTACAGCGCCGCCTGGCTGGGGAAGTAACCAACTTATATTAGACCACAGTGTGAATCTTTACTAAGCCTCGACTAGTATTAGTTTTAGTTCTAATTTTACTTTTTAAGCATTTAACTCGTCCCGTCTGCTAGTTCTAATTTTACTTTTTAAGCATTTAACTCTTCCCGTCTGCTAGTTCTAATTTTACTTTTTCAGCATTTAACTCGTCCCGTCTGCTAGTTCTAATTTTACTTTTTAAGCATTTAACTCGTCCCGTCTGCTAGTTCTAATTTTACTTTTTAAGCATTTAA